GGCTAGAAAACGCGCATGCCACTTCCGGGACTTTTCTCCTGATTTCATTCATTCAACTATTGGATACTTTTGTATTGAGCCACTACTATGCGGGAGGAAAGGGATGCTGAGATGCAGCGCTGGCATAGTCAGTCTCTGCTCTCGTTTTCAAGGGATTTACAGTCTAGGGAGGGACACAGGTTAAAGAACTAAAGAATACAGTTGAGATTTCATTCCAGTTGTGATCAGAGCTGTATGAAAGAAGCACCACAGGGCCTATGAGACTTACAACAAGAGGAATAGCCCGGTCTGGGGGTGAGAAGGCTTTCTGGAGGAAGTTATATCTGAAGTGGGCATACAGACCTCGCCTGCGCCCCAGTGCTGCCTGGACTCATACTGTCCTTACTTAGTGCACTTGCTCTCCCCCACATACCTTACCATACAGTTCCCCTTTCCTGAACCCCCACACCTCCTCCCCTATCCTCACTCTCAGCCAGAGACATGCTTCTTCCTTCCCTTGAAAACACTGGGGTTCTCTTCTCTTGCTTGCTATCTGCCCACCTGCCAGGTCTGCACCCACATACTGCCTCCCGACCTCTTCCCACAGATGACCTGTCTGTGCCCTATCAAGGGCCAGCCTTCCACCTGGGATCAACCCTGTCCCACCACCTACTCAAGGACACGGCTGCAGCAATTCTCCCCTCTCTCTCCTGCATCGTTAATTTTTGACTCCCATTGAATCATTCCCATCGGATACCAGCATAATGCTGATTCTCGCATTTTAAGAGCAAGGTGAGAAAACACAACAAAATAAAACCACTCTTGGCCTCACTTCTCCCTCTATCTACCACCCCAGGTTTGCAGCAAAGCTCCTTGAAAAAGAGGTCTGTGCTCGCTGTCTCCTGTTCTTCTGCTCTTTCTTGAACCTGGTCCGATGGGGCTTTCTTCTTCAACATTCCTCTGAAATTGTTCTCGGTCAAGTTACCAATGACCTATTTGTTGCTAAACCAAATGGTCTTGGTCCTCACCTTTCTTGACCTCTCAGGAGCATCCAACCCAGGTGATCATCCCTTTCTCCCCAGGTTTCTGGATCCACACTCTCTTGGTTGCTCCTGTCTCCCTTCCCAGTCTCCTTTGAGGCTCTTCTCCTCCTCTCCAGCTTCTGATGTTATAGCAGCCAAGGGTTCAGTCCTTAATGTCTTCCTTCCCTCTATCCTTACTCTCTTGATGAGGATTGCACTTAGTCTCACGGTTTTAAATAGTATTCTTCCACATGCTGATGATTCTGTATATCTCTTCTGTATCTCTTAGCCTTCACCTTTCTAACAGACTTACATAGTTCATAGTCTAATAAAACATCTCAAATTCAACAAGTCCAGAACTAAAGCCTTAAAACAGAGCCCACATTTTGGAGACACCATTTGCAAATCATTTATCTGATAAGGGTCTAGCATCCAGAATATATAAAGAACACTTACTATTCAACAGTAAAAAGACAAATAATCCGATTTAAAACGCACAAAGGATTTGAGCAGACCCTTCTTCAGAGAAGATATACAAACGGCCAGTAAGCACTTGAGAGGATCCTCAATATCATTAGCCATTAAATTAAAACCACAGTGAGATACGACTTCACACCCACAAGGATGGCTATAATAAAAAATATGGATGATAACAAGTGTTGGCAAGGATCTGGGGAAGTTGGAACTATCATAGCATTGCTGGTCAGAGAGCAGTGCAGTTCCTATGGCAAGCAATTTGATAGTTCTTAAAAAAGAGTTACCATATGACTGAGCAATCTACTCATAGACCTACCTATACTCAAGAAAATTAAACACATATGACCACATGGAAACTTACACATGAATGTTTATCGTGGCATCGTTCATAATAGGCAAAAAGTGGAAATAATCCAAACATCCATCAACTGATGAATAAATAAACAAAACATGATATATCCATATAATGGAATACTGTTCAGCCATAAAAAATAATGAAGTGCTGATAGGTGGATGAACCATGAAAACATTACACTGAGTAAAAGAAAGCAGGCCCAAAAGACCACAAATTTTATGATTCCGTTTGCATAAATTTCCAGAATAGGCAAATCCAAAGGGACGGTTCAGGGAAGGGGGATTGGGAAGTAGCTAAAGAATATGGATTCTTTTCAGGATCAACAAATGTTCTGGAATTAGATAATGTGATGGTTGCATAACTTGTAAATATACGAAAACCTGCCAAATTCACATTTTAGAGAAGAGAATTTTAGAGTGGCCCAGTCGGTTAAGCGTCTGACTCTTGAGTTCGGCTCAGGTCATGACCTCACAGTTCATGGGTTCCAACTCTGCATCGGGCTCTATACTGACGGTGTCTGCTGGGGATTCTCTCTCTTGCTCTCTCTCTGCCCCTCCCTCGTTTGCACTGGCTCCTGCAGGCTCTCTTTCTCTTTCTCTCTCAAAAGTAAGTAAATAAATAAATGTTAAAACCAAATTTTAAGAGGTGAATTTTATGGTATGTGAATTATATCTC